CTTCGAAAATGCTAGGCAAAAGTTTTATTTTACATTTTGAACTTGCAACTTTTTCATGTAGTTGAGTTTTCTATTTTAAACACAGCTAGAAATTTCGTCTATAAAAAACCAACGTCTCGAATCAAACCAAATTATAAATACTTTCAGCAAAAATAGGTGGTAAAAACATAATAGACCGAAACTTATTGTCGTTGGATTTTTTGGCATGTTTTTCTTTTAGCATCCGAAAAAATACCGCAGCATTACAATCTACCGTGTGCGTGATACTCCAACATAGATTTTGATTCGAGCTCTCAAGAAATGCATTCGGTTGAAATATGTTGACTTAGGCGAGTTCGGAGAAAATGTGGTTTTTGGAATTTTGGTGCAGCACTCAGCTCAATGTAAGCAGCAAAATAATTGGTGGGGTGCAATGAGAGAATTTCGTAAACTTTCCTATCAATTTTTCAAAAATAGTTTGACCAATGCTTCCTTTAAGATAACTTCGTGGTGTGATTTTTATCTATAACGCGAATATCAGACTTATTCAATTCTCGATTTGATTTGCTGCAGATGTTCTATAGCGCACATTCTGCAAGCTGAGCAACTTTGACAAAAAATGTGAAAAAGCCAAACTCAGAGGGGATAAACGTGAACTCAAGAACAACAATAGGCACTGCAAAGGCCAAGAAAAAAGAAGCAATTAAATGCTAAATGAGCATGTTTTCTGCCACATAAGAAGTGAAAATCTTAACAATCACATTTAGAACAATGACTAAATCTGAGATGAGCACATTAAAGAGAAGAGAAGATAAGCTGACATCTTTGTTTGCCTTTCTGAAATAAAATTAAGAGTTGAATTCTGTGTTGCTTGAACAGCAGTGTGTCGAGATTTATTGAATCAGCCGAAGGTCGAGATTTATAGAATTAGCCGAAATTGCAAACAGCTTTGACTTTACGTAGAGCGAGGGGGGGGGGGAGGATATGGACGGGCAAAATTTTCTAGGAGTACTCTACATAATTTATAAAGCAGTCCAAGTCATTAGTTTTCACTTGTGATTGCTAAAATTTTTTTAAATATCTTAGAAGATCCAATTATTAGGGTGAACGGTAAAAAATGGGACAGCTTGATTTTCATTACATTTTGGAATTTTTTGTTTCTAGCAATAGCAAGTAAGCAGCAACTTAAACGTCGCTTACATGGGCGACCTTCGCTTATTATTCTGACAACGCGTTAACGCTCCTCTTCCACTACCCTACACGTGGCGCCGTGAAGAACTCGAACAGAGTTTTTTGCACAATCCTCAATCTTGCGCTGTTATACCGTAAAGTCGTAAAGCAAATGACATACCATTCGAAAGAGCTCTTCATGCTCTTTCGAACGATATGTTAAATGCATGAGATTTCTTTTCAATTTCGGAAAAAAAATTCGAAAAAACATGAAAAATAGCTATTTTTGGCGCAACAAAAAACCAAAAAATCATGTTTTACCCTATATTTTCCGAAGATAGATAAAATCTGAAGTAAGCTGCATATGGATGGATAGAGCGTAAAAAGCTCTATCAGACGATACCTAGAAATCATGCGTTTACCTGCAAAGAATTGAATAACGCGTATCTTTATTTTCGAAGCTGTTAATGGGCATATCTCCTGACATTGAGAGTTAAAGCCACCAAGCCGTCGTGGGTTTGGTGACTGTCCCACCACTCACTCCAGCAGCGGTACTTTGGGTGGTCTCACATGTTTCACTGCGCCGATACTGCTCAAACTTCATAATTTCTCGAAGTAACTAACTTTGCATTTTAGCAAGTATAAAAATTATCAATTATTTAAATGACCTTATATAGGTGCTATCTGAAAGAGAATAATTTATTCTAATATCCATCAAAATTGGAAAGTTCAGTCACTTTTCTTCCTTGAGAAATCTGCAATTATTCTCAAGGTGTCCCATTTTTTACCGTTCACCCTAATAGGTTTGTAGAAAAAGGTTTCCGGAGAGACATGACTGCCCACGCTGTGCTTTTGAAACATTAGATCATAACTTCGCAAAAGATTCAAAAAAAAAAGCAAAAATTTCCGTGAAGGGTATAGATATGTCGTGTTTTTCTTCCTCGCCCTCCCTTTCACCTAAAATCTTTCTGAGTATGATGTCATGTGGAGCAAAGCGTGAGGTTTATTGCATGGAGATCAAAGGAAAGAAGACAGCGTTTATGCTTTTATTATGCGCGAAGTAAAGTTATGCAGGACCAAGGCTCAACCGATGCAATTTGAACGTAGCGCGGCACCTGCTTGAAGCAAGTAGTCTTTCCTATTCCTAGCTTTTTATAGATGGCACAGTTTTTAGGGTGAACTATTGTCAACGATTGTATCGTTGATGTATGGTGCTAATTTTCCTGGTTTGAATGCGTAAATTCATACTCTAACTGCTTTTTAGGTAATTTGTCAGTGTAGGTGTTGAATTTTTATGCATGACTTAGGCGATCTCGCAAAACTCCATAGACATTCACAACGTCATTATCAGTTTTGTGCGCGGACTTCTTTTCAAGTTGATTTTGACAATTTTCTTTTGAGCTGATTTTGACGAATTCCTCACTTGCATTAGCGAACACCTCAAACTCCCAAAAATTCATTCTATCAGCGCTGATGCTCTTAAAGCTCATAGAGAATCCAAAATATGGAAAAGAAACGAAGATAAAAAATATATAGAAAAGTGCCGCTAAAGAATACTACTCATATCGTCATAACTTTTGGCCGTGATAGTGAAAATGGTGCCAATTAGCAGCTTTCTGTATCTCCCACCAGTATTCAAGACTTGCTGAACAAGACTAGAGGAAGTTGAAAATGAATAAGAATAGCGTTTTGACCTAATAGTTTTTGTACAAATGACTGCTGTCACGAAGAGCATCAGCTCTCGGGCGTAGTAGCAGATTTTTTTATTTTTCAGTCAAGCAATTTCATAATGGAGCTCTCAGAGAAGTGAAATCCATGGTCTAATGCCTCTTCTTTTGAAATTTTGATGTTATTATTGCTAACACATTTTGAATAACTCTCAAAAAATCTGTGCGTCTCTCATGCTCGGATTTATAATGAAGATACGGAATTCGATATCAGTTATTCCAGTACATCTCATTATCGTTTACGATTTTCATTGCCATAAATTCTAGCATGTTTTCTTGAGCTATACCAAAACTTGTCGTCTCAAGAATCTTTGTCATATTCAAGGGACATGATTTATTTAATGTTCAGTGGTCAAATAGTCCCTCTTTCACCAAGAACCTATTAAAGTTTCGGTTAATGGGCTTGTCCTTTCACTCACTGACCCCGTGCCAGGATGATTAGCCTCAATTGTGGGTGCTTTCAACAGGCAAAACTGTGAGCAATTTCAAGCACATGCAATATTCCTAGTAAGAATGCGCAACTCTTTCAAATTTTTTCATGCGTGGACTTGGTCAAAACTTGATTGTGTGATTAGCACAACGTAGAAGCGGGGGATTTTCCGATCAATTTTGAATTTTTTTTTAATGAAACTGTGAATAGTATCTAGACCTTAGGCCTCTGAAGAAGCGCATCAAACACAAAATACTTTCTCGCATCTTTTTTTTGCGCCCAGTGAGCACTAGTACAGGAAATTACTCACTTTGCATAAGGAGCCTAATGTGTTTTCTGTTAATCAACTTTGCCTCACTTCAAGAATGTACTCTTGACAAATCTCTTTCCTACACCATAAATAGATTTTGCACTAAAGAAAGCATTGTTGGGGCTGAAGAATATCATGGCTCGGACGAGGAGGTCCGCCTCCTTTGTGTACATTACAATCCCTTCATCCTTTCATAGGAGCGGGCACTGCCTTCTTACTTCGTTTGTGCTCTTGCCAAAGCTTGTGATAGTGCAGTGAAGCAGAAATTAAAAAAATATTTTTCTGCGCCTACATCACTTGGTAGTGAATTAACATTGGACTAGGTTGCTGTATAACTTCTGTTTCTTTTCTAAGATTCAAATTTAAAACATTAAAATTTTTTTTCAAAATCATTTTTCGAGAACCACTGCTGCATCAAAAAAATACTCAAAAAAGTTTCAAAAAACACGAACCTTCTCAAAATAAAAAGAACAAAAAAAATTCAAATCCCAGCGAATATTGCTTTTGAAGAAGAAGCAAGAACTCAGGATTTCTGCAATGTTTTAATTCAAACCCAATTTTTTGACATGGTGATGATTTCTTATAAGAACTTTCAGGCATAAATAGCATCAGTAGGTAGCAGAATCCACAAAATTATTTCATAATGGGTAAGAGCCCATTGATTCTTCAAGTCTGAATAAAACTTTGTGCAAATGGAAGAAGACGTTATGACACCACTTTAGTATACGCATACAACCAGTTTCAAATCATCAAATGTTTGTGATTGTTCCGAGGCTAGAGCTCCCGCTCAACTCTAGCATCTAAAACGTTCGTCTCATCAATTGCCTCTACTTCCAAAATGATGTGAAAGAACATCCATATCGAGCTTTAGTTTTCGACAACAAATTGTACAAACAGGAAGGTCTATTAGGGTGTCTCATAATTTTTCAAGAGTTATTATTGCAACCGTCGTCTTTTCATATCTTTCCATAAATTGATGTGGATTACTACATGTTGGCTGTCGATAGTCTGTCCAATCCGTATTCCATGTGAAGTTTTTTAGGGAGATTTTCTTAACAGAACTCATCGCTTGAGAAACCATATTTCGGTTACGTGTTATCTTATCTGGGGATGGAATTTGATATGTGTCGGAAAGGGTAAGAAAAACACTTCTTAAGTATACAAATACTATCGCATTGAAAAAGAAAAGCCAGAAAAGCTGTTTCGAATACAATGCACAATAAAAGCACAGAACTTATGCAGCGGACTAGTGTATTTCACTTCATGCAAATTCTTTGTTCTTCCATTTTCTCAGTTCTGAGCCATCTCTTTGAGCTTTGCGCTCATTCAACCTTTTTCACCGTCGTTTTAATGCTGCACCGTTGATATATGTGTTCATATCTTCAAATTCCAGGTTATGGCTCTGATCCAGGTTGTTGTGCTGGCGTTATGCGCCCTGATGGCTAGCGCAAACTCTTTGCGAGCAAAACGACAGCTGAGCCCTGCTGTCCGATTGGAAAGCGAACTGCATCCTCTTATGATGGGCATGTATGGTTTTGGATCCGAGGTAAGAACATCTGACACATCTGGGACCACAAAAATCAGTACTGAATTCTTGTTAAGACGTCCGCTTTGAAACGATCGCCAATCACTTTGAAACGCCACATTTCTCCTTCATTTGACGTAGAAGAAGATGTTGGTAATATGCGTGCTCTGATGGACATTGGAAAACGTGGGCTAAGCGTAGCTGACGATGTTGACCGACAAATGCAGGTACGCGTCATCGCTTTCACTCATCTCTAAGTTGATTTCGACGCAATCTGATAGACGTCTGGAAAGTCCTCGTCTGACTAAGCTGGACTGAGACTTCATTGTATGGCTGATTAACACATTCTTCCGCCGAAAATCCTGTAAAAGTGCGCGTTGACAGGGTTGCCTAGACCCACTGTCGTTCCTTTAAGCACGCAAGCATCGATAACCTTTTAGGCAGTTTAGCTTTTGCTTACGAGGACATTGTCAGAAATTAACCCAGCCATTCCAAACAAACTGTATATCATCGGATTCGTCTTGAAACGTTCATTTCAAATATATATGTATATGTTTTTCATTTGCCAAGCGACTATGGGAGCAGTTATGAGCGTTCAAATATGAGAGATTTTTCGAATTTCGAAGAACATATTTCCTTGAAAGGCAGCTTGATGGCGTGATTTACTGTGGCTATGTTTATTTTGATTACAAGGAAGAAGCACATTTACTAAAATCCTAAATAAGTGTTTTTGATTCGTGGAACATGCGCCACAGAACACGACAAATTTCACATTCAAGCGCTCATAACTCCTCCCACATAGTCGCTTGGCAAATTATAAACCTATATTTGAAAACAGCGTTTCAAGGCGAGTCCGATGATATATAGATCGTTGGGATTAGCTCGGTTAATTTCTGACTGTTTCCTTAGCAATTTTTTGATGATTGAGCAATCATGTTGGAGTATACACCCGTTTTGTTAGTGGTATCTCATGCGGCGAGTTCACTGTTTTCATTCATTTAGTGAACAGTAGTATTGAGTGCCTAGTGGTGACTTCGGGGAAGGTTTCATATCTTCAAAAATGCCAAGGGGATCAAACAATTGTATCCGGGTCAAACACTATGTTGTATTTGAGTGATAATTTTCTTTCAATATTCTCATACAATCTTAACCTTCAGCTTCCTTCAATATAAACGATTTGGACACAAAGTTATGCTAAAAACATTCCTTTAGTGTGTTCGATACGGTTACACACATTGAATGCTTCAAAATTTGGTCACGAAATCGACCATCCTTTTAGATTTTACTGCTGCAGAAAGTATGGATTATCCCAGATATAAGCAGTCTGATTAAGGAAATCAAAACCAAAAACGTGCAAAAAAGGGAATTGATAGCAAAACCAAAAATATTCTCAGAAACTTTTGACTTGCCCAAAAAGTTTTTATAACGTTAAAGTTCTAATGGAGCTACAGAGAACTGAGTAAGAACAACCCCCGCGTCAAGAAAACAGAGGATTCTGCTAGTTTTTAAGGAGTACAAAAATCAGTTCTCAGTTTCAGGCAGAAAATATTTGATTTGATTTTTGAAGGCTCTGAATACCTAGTATGTGGAGTGCTATACATGGCATTGCTTTGCAAGCAATGTTGCAAAGCTCTTAATTGAGAAACAAGCAGCTATTAATCAGTTTTTATGGTTCCGTACGCCATTTGCTCGACCTATTCTCATAGATCACAAGCTTTGATATTCTTAATACACCTTGCTTCAAATCTTCTATCTACCTAATCTTTTATAAAATCTGCGTGAAACATATCAAAAATGGTCCTCTTTCGAAAAATTCTAGTGTAAGTGGAAATGTAGATTTCTGGGCAGGATCTCTTATGCCTCTACACTACAAAGCACATCGTAGAAAGAAGCTGCATCAGCAATAATTCGTCATCCAGTTCTCACACTATCCATCAGCCTAATCCGAAAAATCCTTAAACTTTGGCTCATTCAGCAAATTTGAAAAAAAATTGCAACTTGATCGTCTACAGTCACTTTCCCATATAACATAAAAATGCCAAACTTGTTTACTTCAATGGCCCGAAACGCAGAATTTTTGGAATTGGAATTTTTGGAATCGCTGGAATTTTTCAAAATAGAAAATCAAGGAATTTATACTTTTATGCATATCATGACCGCTACCATGATCAAAAGTACCCGCTAGTATAAGCTTTAGTGTAAGCTCTCCAGTTTGGAACATTGATGCTCACTGATGTGGCTTTTCCAAAAATAAACTCAGTGTATCGCTAGGCTCGAAATTATACGTTAACGGGTGAAGCTCGCCACTATAAATTGCATGTTTGGAACTGCGAGGCACCGATGGAAACTGCAATTGATACTAGATTCGAAGCTTAACGAGGCTCAAGCTTAGGGACATACTATCACCTGATTCAGCAATGGTAAAGTCACTACGAGATTATAGGATAAATCGTCTGAGCTTTTTCCTCCAAAAAGCGACCTGCCTCTATAAGTGCGTAACTCGCTTAGCTTTATTCCATGCATTGCTTGCAATGCTGCTATCAACTAGTCATAACAGCAGAATTCAAACTCTTCACTCCCTCTCCTTTCCCTCATTTGGCAAAAAAATTGTGTACAGTAACGACTTCATTTTGAAAACTAAATATTCCATTCATAATTTGTGCGTTGTTGAAGGCCGAGATTTGCTCAAAATAACATATTCAAAAGCCTCATACTCTAGAATCACGTAATTTGGCTTTTTATCCTTAAAACCCTTGAAAAGTTAATCTCAAAATCGTTGACCGAGTGTTTTTGATCTTACGATTTGGTTCTGACCTGGCATAATGATCCACAGCATTGCTGAAGCGGTCCCCCTTTTTTCTTTTTTGCGAAGTAAAGCCCGTGCTTCTCATTTTATATGTTTTTAGAAAATTCTTTGGGATTTTGGGAATTTTACAGGAACGAGCCCTTGTTATTTTCACAAAAATCATACAACTTTGAATTCAAAAAGCAACCTTTTGACGGACTTATCCAAAGATCGGGGGGGGGGGTCGTAATCGCGTAGTTTACTAAATGGTTTGTAACATCAATTATGCGGGGCAGATGAACTTTTATCATAACAGTGGCTAAGCTGATCGATTAAAGAAAGCAACACAGCTTCTTCCATCGCATCACTTTCAAGGTAACCTCTGAAAAGTAGTAGTGACCTTTTTGTTATCAAATTACGCGCTGAGACCTGATCTTTTTTAGAAAAACAAATCCTCTGTGATTCATTTGTTCTATCATTTCACTGAGTGTCGGTACATCACTTGATTGCAAATAGATTGAGTGACGGCAGCTCTTTGAAGTTTTTTTTATAACAAAAGATCTTCTCAAGAAGGAAAATCAAATCATTCTGTGCGAGATAAAAACTGAACTCAAATAAAAAAAGAATTTGTTCAAGATTTTTTGCACGCAAAGACTCAGCACTTGAGTGCGACTGAGATAGTTGGTATTTGTAAGAAAGAGCAGGCATTATAGGGGATGAAAGAGCGCATAAGCAGAAAGACGCAGACTGCGTACGCAGTGGCACACTATCTCTGCGCTCGGTGAATCGCCTTCAAGCGTTTTCCATTTTTGAAAATTACTTCATAGATTTTTGAGATCATGTGGGCTTATCCTCGAAGGCGGCGAAGCTATAAGGGAAGGAAAGGAGGCCTAAAAAATGCATCTATCAGTCAAGGGAGCTCGTTTGCTATAGATTTGGTAGAAGAAAAATGCCGGAATAGAGCTTGTGCTTCCATTAACCATTAAAGCCAAATGGATTAGATGTCCTTGCATATACCAAGTCAGGGGACTTGAGCACCATTTTACATCCTTTGCATAAAATCAATTTTTTTTTACAGATGTACCATCGACTTTTCGATGCTGGTAAAAAACGTGCAGCCCTGTCGCCGTCAGCTGATCTGCAAAATGCGATGGACTTGAGCAGCTACCTGGAGCGAGCCGGAAGAAAGTGAATAGAAATAAAATTCGAGAGATCAACAATCGACTGACAATCCCATCCACACGATTCTTACTAGGATGCACCACAACTTTTGATTTTGCGTAGTTGAGTATTTTATGTATAGCTGCCTTGAGTGATGATAATACCACCTGCAATGCGCGTGATGCTTATGATGATCTCAGCTTGGTGATAAAGATTGAACTAGTTTGTATAAAAGTCAAAACTAGAGATATAAGCCATTTTGTGAGCTCCAGTATCAGGCAGACACTTTTTTGGAATACTCCAGAATTCCTTTGGAATTCACCTGTTGATGAAGACCACACAATGCTTTGCACACAATGTTTTATTTGAATTTTCAAAGCATTGAATAAGTCCGTTTTTGAGAAGTCTCAAGATGTTTTCTTATTACCACTCCTGCTGCAGGAAGTTATAGCGCGGTTTGCGTCGCAATAAATAATTCGCAAAATTGTAAACAAAAACACTTGCAAAATTTGTATGTTTATTCTGAATTGAATGAGTTAGCAGTTCAGTGATTTGCTATTTACAAAGCTCACCTGAGAAACGTTACCACATTTTCACGATTTTGTTACGATAAAAAAGTCGCAGCGGAAAAATTCTCTAAAAATCGTGTGTTTCTCTCTCAAAAAGAAACTCAATTTTTTTCATCTCAAAAGTGAATACCGAAGATTGAGGGTCTGTATCTTTCCTGACCATTTGTACATACCAGGAAGTTTGAAAGGCAAAACATTGCCTGTGGTCTACGTGCTTCTCCTGTGTCGCGGTCAATAATTAATTGCAGAGACAATTATTCCTTATTTGTTTGCAATTAGGCGTCCACACGTACGGCCAGCGTAAGCTATACTCACCAGGGAATCGAAACCCACAACTTTTAATCGAAACGAGCTTCAGCTATGAGTCGTAATGACAAATTGGAATTTACAGGGAGAATTTGAAGCTTGACGTGGAAGGACCGTATCCACTCTGTTGTTTGTAACACAAAAGCTAAAGTCACATATTTCAATTTCATGTAAATTCAAAAACGACATTTTTTTGTTTCAATTTACGCAACAACGCAAAAACTCTGCAAACATGTCATTCTCTGGTTTTTTCTGCTTGATTCCCCATTTGGAAAGCTATCCATCGAAAAGTGCCATGTTTTTTTTTGTATCAAAGCACCTCAGCTGAATTAGTAGACGTTCTTCGACTGTAGAAAAAAGAAGTCAAAACAGACCCGGTGGAGCAGCTTTAGAATAAAAAAAAGTGTTAGAAATCCTCCCAAAGATAACCGCACAGCGCCAACACGTGAACATTTCTTATAAAATTTCCGAAATTTCTAGGTTGGTTTCCCTCATTCAACAAGCACGCAAAACAGTCTTCTGGTCAGCCTTTAAACGACCGACATTTCGGATCCGATGAGATTGAGCATGAATATAAAATACAGTTTTATTTGATTCTTTCTGTTTTTCACACAACTTATTGCGCTTTCAAATCCCAATTATGGGTGATGTGGACGGTAAGCTTGCATTGCTTGACTCGCTAGCCCTCAGAAAGCAAATTCTGGAAGACAATAGATTTCTCACTGGACTTGGATGCATTGTTTCCTTATGATAGATCATGGCTGTACACTTTTTAGACAGATAAAAAAATGGAGATGGCATCTTTTTTAAATCTTCCCCTTCTTTGCGATACCAAATGCTTCTTAGGTTTTTCTTGATGGGAAGAAAATAAAGCAAATTTTTGGATTAGTAATGAGATCTATATTTTAGCATATTTTGAAAAATCTGTAGAAATGACCTACGAATCCACCCAAGTCTATTAACTCATACATAGAACAGTGCCTGGACAAGTTTCTTCTTCAAAGCTTTTTTCGCAAGCAGCAACCTGTATCTCAAATCTAATATTTCATTAAAATTTGAGAAAAGAAGGAAGTAGTTTGTCTTTAAACGTCGAGAAATTGAATGCATCCTTTTGTGGCTCGCCCTTACAGCTGCTTCCACATTCACTTGTGCCTTCATCAACCGTGGTGGATTTCAAAAATTCTGTCATGGTTGAAAAAAGTTTCATGCGAAAGTCGTCAAGAATGGTTTCCACAACAGCAGGAAGCTGAAAGAATCAAAGCCTCAAGCAAATATTTAGTCAGCGAAAGGTGTGTACCTGCTCTAACTTTACAGTGATTTCCTGGGCTTTCGCAATTTTCCGCTCAAGTTCGTCACGATCGTTACATGTTTCCATTTGTGCGCCAATTATCTCAAAGTCATGGAGCACAATACGCCCACACTAAAGATAATGTTGTGGTACGAGAAGTTATTGAAATTCAACTCAATCAGCGTTGTACTAAATAGTTTTGGAAGCATAATTGCTAACAAGAGAATGAAATACTGTGTTAATTTGACTGACATTTGATTAGTGTAGGATGTGACGCGGATGCACTTTGATAAAAGAAGAGAAGCATAGTAAAACAATACTTTTCGGAATCAGAGGTCATTGCTAAGAGTGAGAGCTCGCCGCTGTTTCAAGTTCAATCCTAAGACGGCTATTTTCTCTGTCCTAGGGGCTTTACTTCGTAATCAACTAGAGATATATTGAGTTGAATTGAAAGTTCGTTCGCATCATATCCAAAAAAATCATAACTTCTTTCATTCACAATGCTTTTGCTCCTTAGACTCTCTCAGAAAGGCATGTAGTCTCCAAAAATATCCTGGGGACTTATTTAACATGCTCAGGTTGCAGAGAAAAAAAGAAAGAACGAAATCATCCGAAATTCGGAATTTCTAAGCAAGCCTTCTAAAAATCTAGAAGCTGTGCGATAAAATCCAGAGCATCCATCATCCTAAGTTTTCTTATATTTTGTTACTAACTGACTCAAGTTTGTGCTAATCGAGCTCTTCTTTCAAAAGTTACGATTTTTCAGGAAAAATGCCGAAAAATACATTTCTCAAGAATTTTTAGGAAATTGATTTTTCGGCATTTTTTTGAAATGTTAATGCATGCGGCCTTTAGAGGCATATTTTCTACCTTCTCATTTTTTAATGCACCCCTCCCTCTTACGATCCCCCCTCTCCCCGTCTTGTTTACCCGTTGCGACAGTCGCATTTCGTTCAATTATCACCACACATGCTTGACCCTGGCTTTGAATTGAGTGCTCAAATCTCATTACTATAATTTAACATGAGGATTGAAGCTTTCACAGCAGCTTCTGTTCTTGACTGCACTCAAATCAAATGACAAAACACCGAATATGTTTTGTATCAGAACAAAAGCAAAATTACACATGCATAAACAAAGAAATCTATTTGGATAGTGCTCACCTCGTCGAAAAATCTTTGTCCATCATGAGAGTTAGCGCTGAAGTCATACATGACCTTATCGATTGTTTCTAGTGCTTGAGCAGTTGCTTTAGAGACAGCTTCTTTGCCAGCCTTAATATATGTAGCCTTTGGGCAATGCACAATCGTGAAGGCCCATGATGTTTGCGACGTTGCGCCGCGTACGCATGGGTCAAATCCTTCATTGACGTCAACGCTTTAGTTTGGAAAGTGTGATTGATAATGGATTTACCACATTAAAAAAATACACTTAAAGCGCAAAGAAAAACAAAGGAATTTAAGCACTCCAGCCTAACTCCAGCATTTTTAGCTGCGCAATAACCGCATATCTCACCGAACTTCACTACCAGGCAAAGCCCTATAAGACTTCCATTATACATGCACATAGAAAAAAATTGCAGACAGATTCTTTTCCGATCATAGGTAAGTTTTCTTATAAATCTGAATACGCACCGTTACGTCTTTTGCCGTTAGTACGAGCTTTTCTTCAATGTCATGTCCGTTGTGTTTCTCTAGCCAACACATCATGCACATCTGCCGCTAGAAAGTCCAACCAGAATGAGTTTTTGTTTCGCAAAAAAAGTCGCTCACAACAGATACCATCAACCTATAAAATATGCGACTCACCGCCGTATCGCTACGCCCTGCACAGGTGCGACATGACAAGTACATATCCTTGGATATTACATCGTTGCAAGCTAAGCATCTTGGGAGATTACTTTCAGACGCGTCCTTATCGCTTTTACAGTCATTTGTCTCGGAAACAATAGCCACCAGATCTGAGATAAGTATCTGCTTGCGCTATCATTTCCTTTTCTGAGCGGTAAAGGTGAGAAAAAGTTAAATGGTATTTAGCTGCCGGCAATTTTTCAAAGTTTTGAGAATGTAATTCAATTTTATGAAGTGTAAAATTTGACATTGACGCTATATTTATGCTATGAAATTCTCACAGCTTTCTGTGTCATCTAAGTGCAGCTCAACTCAAAATTGAGACCGGTCTCCTGTTCGCGTCTCTAAAGAAGCATGAATGGTGTGATTAAATTTCTTGGGTGCAAACTAGTATAGGGGCCTGCAGGATTGCGAGAGTGGAGTGCATACGATCATTGCGCCGCGCACGTCCGATGTCACTTAGGCAGGTGCCAGACTTATCCGCTTCAGCCGGTTCGTTTGGTGCGTAGCTCAAATCACCACACTCTCCAACAGCAAAGCTGGTGAACCGAATGAACCTGTTCAATAGGATAAGTCTGGGCCCGTAGTAATCTAACCTACCAGATGGCATCAGAGATGCCGGCAAGTTCGCGAACCTCGCAGCATGTTCGTGTTTCGAGCGCAAGCGATCTTGCTTTAGATTCTCGCTTTTTGATTAGTTTTTCTCTCTTTTTTGTATCTCTCGAGATTAACGTCTTATTCGCCTTGATCGTGCGTAGGTCCTGATAATGTCAAATACTCGTACTCCGCAATCATATGGACATAAATTTTAATAACGCAGGCAGCCGCAAAACACTTACATCAAGCGCGTTCGAATTAGCATGCATCAACTTTGAGCGCCGCAGCACTAACCATTCAACTACGCGTCAGTTCTTCTGTGTGCGGCAGCAATGACAAAAACGCACAGAAAATTTGCGCCTGTGAGAGCGCAGGATCAATATATTGCGTAATAGACATTGACCTGAAAGAACAGCTGATTGATAAGAGCAAGAGGCAGGCGAGTGCGTTGCAAACAAGATTTAAAGAAATTGCAAGAAGAAGATGGCGCACTTTTTGGTTGTATGATATAACCATCTATTTTTTCTACAGATATATCAAGAACCTAAAAAAGGAAAAACCCATATAATGATAGAAATCATGGTTTTTTTTTTGATAGAAAATGAATTTTTCTGATCCTTCGGCTTGACGTAAATCCTGTGATATTGCCGCGCGACGCAATTTCACAGACGCCGTCGACAAAGGTGCCGGCATCTGGACGTGGTAGGGGCACGTCCAAATGGCGGCAGCTGGCACTCCACCAAAAACACACTATTTCGTGCACCCTCTGACCTGCCGGCAGGCTGAGGGCGAGATGATATCTCAAATTTTGACGAAAGAGATCGTTAACCTTCCGGCAAATTCATACTTCGTTCCAAATGAATGGCAAACGAGAACATTTTTTGGATTTCCTTTCAATTCCCATACTATTTCGACAGCAAATCTAGACATTAACGCAAAAAATAGATGATTAGCCTGGCTTGGGAATGTCCGGAGGGAGTTTGAGATTTTAAGGACCTCAAGTCCACATCAAGGCGAGCTGAGGGCATGAGATCCCAGCCAGTTAGTGTGGATTACTACGGGCCCTGGCACCTACCTGGTCGTCGGACGCACATCTGACGTGCGCGGCGCAATGGCCGTACGCACGTCCGACTCTCGCGATACTGCAGGCCCCTATAGCGTACTTCATGTATCTACAACGAAAAACATTATACTTATGCCTATATGTAAAAGATTAAATTAGAATATCCAACATACAAGCTGTAATTTGCGCCGCATCTACATCAGCATACCCTTTGCTTCAACCAGATTGGTTGCTGGAAGGCGATGCTAGGAGGCGACTGCTCGCATCCGCGACGCAGTCTGTGCATCCCTCTCGAACATGCTCTCTGATCATTTTCCAGCCTTGATCTGGTCATGGAGCCCCGCCTTTTAATCGCCGATCTGTTAAAGCAAAGGGTACACAAGCGGTTTTCGCAAGGATCCACAGGCGCCCAATTTTGCTCAAGAATTTTAGCTTAACTTTTAAGTGCTCCGTGTTCCTTTCAGCATTTCCATTATGTTTGGGTTTAAGTCACCTTGAAGCTAATAAAATTTAAGGGGAGGGTGCACTTTGACCGATCTCTGAGAGTTTATAATCTGTGGGGCTATGTCGTCTCTATCGTGGTCTTGGTGCTAAACGCAAGGCTCGTCACACCTTTGCAGCTGAGTTTTTTTTGTGGAAATGTTAACTTTTTACAGCCCTCATTTACACAATCCAAAGTCTGCATGAATAAAGCTGGTTGTCATCTGTATGTTTGTATGCTGTACGTAAGTTCCGAATAAAAAATTTTATTTTTGAACCGATTTGGATGAAACTTTGCGCGTATACACTTCGGGGCGGGGCAGGTGTCGTAGGCTACTTCTCTCATTCAATATCGATTTTATTACTTTTTTGCAAAGTTTAACCTACAAGGCTGAGAGTTGGCACAGGGGAGTAATTGAGCATGCTGATTACGGAAATATTATTGGCATTGTCGGGCGGAGCCGGGTTTGCCAGCTAGTGGGTAGTATCAAATGAAACAAAGCAAAAATCCAATATTGAATCAAAATCTCCCCAAGATTTCAAGTAGTTTCACATTCTGCTTTTATTTAGGCGTCCAACGATTTTGAATGACTTGGGATTCGGGCTTACAAGCTATCTTTGTTCAACAATGACTGAAAGATCATGAACGGCGCAAGAACTACATTCAGTACAACAGTAGCACTCATATCACTATCGAGAAATGCTTAGTGGAACGGCTTTTTTAGGTAATATGCATGTTGTTGCATGTAACGCATGGAACGCTTATTCCAAATCTGCCGCCCCATTTGCAAAGCTTCTCTAGACACCGAGTTATGAAAAATTTTGTGGCAAAAAGTCGAAAAAGGGCAAAAAGAAAAGCATTAATAAAAGTCTCCGAGCAAATGGAGCAGTGGTTTTAAACAATTCTGTACAAAGAGTGATTTTCCTGTGTGCTGCAACCATGACTAAAGCCAATCCATCTGTGAAATGTACATGCTGGCCAATTTCATTTCCTCGCACATTTAACTGTTTTGGTCTCTTGAAAAGTCCATAGCCCTCAGCCAAGGTGCTCTTCAAATAAGAAAAACATGTTTGGAATTAGCGTCTGATGCCCTCTGAATATACATGCAGCCCATTTTAAAAGGCCACTTCCTAATGACCAGGGTCAGCCGTGGAGTGTAGCATGCCACACCTGGCGGTTGTATTGAGGGTCTGGCGTTAGCGTTACTTGATACTCGTAAACAATGTCAGATAGACCCATTATGCAACGTCTTACGTACAGTAAGCATAATAAAAAGCCTCAAATTCATAATCGCATCATTTTCGTAATTATCATGTCAAATAACAGCTGTAGACCAAGTTTCAGCGAATTCTGAGGTTTCCAGATACTTGGCCAACTAAGTAAGGTGGTCAACAGACATGTTACCTTCGTTCCAAAAGTGAGTTAACTACTTCTCTCAGCATTTAAAGGCAGTGTCCGGGCAGAAACTCGACTTTTAAAAAATCAACTTATCTGGGGTTATCCGCAACGCTGAATCCGAAAATCCATATCAGAAAGCACGAAAACGGCGAGAACATGCATTTTCCAAGCCCTTACATTTCGAAATTTGAGGATCCCCGCCAGGCTAAGACGCAGAGTTGCAAAGAGCGCACGGTTTTTAACTGTGGCGGCATACGTACTCTGCCGTCTGGCAGGAATTCAAACAGCTCGGAGGACCCCGCCCCGAGGCGTAAGTTTCCCCACCTTGCAATTGTTTTTCTTGCTTTAGGTCGAACGTTTTATGCTCGCAGTTGCGCGATGTTGTGTCTCAGGGGGGCCAGTCTCACATGGCAAAGAAATCTCAAAACCCCCATCTTGCCCGGACACTGCCTTTAATACTAAGAACAAATACTTATTTGCTCACGTAAGGAATTGCACTTCGAATAAACTCCAAACTATGGAATTAATAAGAGCAAGCTAAAATCTCGTTTGTTCTATTCTCCGCTTTCAATGTCTCAGACTAGAGGAGACCAATCAGGCCCAAATAACTTTTATGTAAATTATGAATCTTAGGTCTTTTTCCACGATTTACACAGTAGCGTAGACTAGGCATATTACCGTAATCCGATGTTTTCGCAGCATTTTTTATTCGCATTATATTAGAGATTATTTTCGCATTATATTATGTTAGATAAGGGCAAGCGACTACATCTTCCCCTGGAAGAAACTATTCCAAATGATTTTTCTGATGTGTAAAGAATAAGGTTGAGCACGAGCAACGGTATAGAAACACAGATATTTGATTGGTTTGAAGGTAAGTTAATGAGGTGTGGCAGCCACACCTTTTCTGCGGTTGTGCAACACCCCAATAGCTTACTTCCAAAGAGGATTTTAGGAAATAAATATTTTACATTCGATAGCCAAAATCTCGTAGTTTTTGTAGAAGTGATTAGAGATGATAGAGCTTCATTCGTTTTCTTTTTTTTTGAGCAATAGTTGCTGGAAGCACAACCACTGTAAGCAAAAAATGACAAACGAGATTTTGCCTGGCTCCTTATTCCATAGTTTGACTTTTATTTGTATCAAGATTCGTGTTATGAGCAAACAAGGAGTGGTGTTTCGTACTGAGTACAAAAAGAGGCAGCTAATTCACTTTTGAAATATAGTTGATCAATTCTGAAAATGGCCACTTCATTTGGGTGGCCTAATATCAAGAAACCCCAGAATCGCAAAAACGTGCCCCACAGGTTTTATTTGACAAGAGAATTTCAAACATGTAAGTCATTTTGTTTGGTAAAGCTTTATGTCATGCTTAGGCTTGAGCGAAAATGGGGTAAGGGGGGGGAGGGGTTATCGAGGCAGAACCTAGGGGAGGGGCGTCGTATCCGGCGATTACGTGCCACACCTCTCGCTCGACCCCGCTAATGACCCTTCGAAAGGTGTAACTGCCTCAAATTCATAATTGCATAATTTTCGTAAGTATCATGTCAAATAACCTCTGTAGACCAAGTTTCAGCGAGTTTCCAGACACCTGGCCATCCAATGAGATGGTTATCCCAAACATGTTACAGTAATTTCACGCGTATAAGGCGCACTTTTTCGAATTTTTAAGCGAACCGCTAGCCGCTTCACTGTATTCCGGAAAGAAATCCTTACATCGCAGGGTTCTCTCAAGCAATATACAGCACGTTATAGGGTCCTTTGGTTGTAAAGTCCTTTGGCTTGTCTGGGCTGTTCGATTTTGGGAAAAAATTCCCCGCGCCTTATACGCGTGAAATTAGGGTACCTTCATGGCACCAAATTTAGTGCGTGCGTGCGCGTTGGAAAAACCCAACTATGGCCTAAAATTCTATAAAAACTTATGTGAGGGAAAGCTAAATCTGCTCTAGTCACAAAGCGCGCCCTAAGCATATGAGCGCGAATTTCGTCGATTTTATTTCGTCAATCTGTCAAAATCATTACTTGTCGTTTTTGTGTTTCTGTATTATATATTCTTGATTTTTCTTCGTATTTTTTATTTGTTTCATTTCAGATAAAAATCTTGCAGTTCTCATTCCATTTTTTAGTCGACGTTTCGTTCTTTCAAATGTTTTTTAGTTTAGGGTTCAGGGTCAAAGGGGACTCTGTACGAAACAAGATCTAAAGGGGCTTCTTTTTGAAATTTCTTTGGTGCCAGCTCGTACCGAGCCCTGAAGAGAGTTATCACAGATCAAACGTTCGCATTAGAGATATCATGTAATTGCACCTATTCTATGGTCGCCTCCCCGATGTACGTTGAGGGTAACATCTGCAAACATGTGAACACGCTGGTGAATTATTAATCCTTTCTGCAAGGCACTGTTCTTTGTAATCTCTCGATACTAACTCTGCCACGTAAGACAACAACAAATACACGTAGCAGTTTAAGGAGTGCAAAGAACCATGCTTTGCAATAGAGGTTTGATAAGTCATCAACGCGTTTAGATGTCTGCAAATGCTCCGCTCAACGTACCGGGACAGGCAACGATACTTGGTTGTGCTATGCCTAGACTTAGCTGGCAAGTCTCTCTCTCTCCTGATATCCTTTAGCATTTTACAATAATGCTAAGGAGATCAAAGTATTATAAGTCAGAGGAATATCGAATATTAATATCCAACTGAATCTATTTGGAAGATGTACGTTTATAAATTTTATTTCGTGCTGTATCAAGGTGCCTTACCTTGTAAGCGATAATTGATCGGCAATCCTTCGGATGGCACATGGGTTGTCTGACGGCATTCTGGGCATTTCACTATCCGAACGACATCTAGGTCGTAATGTTGCCGTGATAAAGCGATGGAGTACTGGGAATAATGAACCTTTAAGAGGACCAACATATAGATTTTGTACCTCAAAAATAAAAAATACCAGCTGCTTATCAAAAAATGGCCCCTTATGTAGAGAAAAAATCAAAAAGGACTTTTGAGTTTCATATTCAGAGAGTTTGTTGATAAGCTACTATCAAGATAGGAGAATCCATGCATTTTCTAGTGGTGCTTGAAGCGAAGATTCAACCTGTCATATCGCTGCCATTGAGACTGCTAGAGGAAAACACTTATAGTGTGTTCACTTTTGAATCTATAAAATGCGAATGGGCCTAAGATGCAGAAAAATCATAAAGCTTCTTATTGTTCTTCTAGGTTTTGAGGTGCTTTTCTGAGTAAGCGAGGTAAGTTATGGCCTGTTCGGAGAGTTTAAAAATTGGTTCGAAGTTTCCTACTATTTGATTAGATTGTCCAAAGTAAACTTTTTGACGCGTATAATAAAATAAACGTATTGTCTGTTTCAAATATGAGAAGAATTATGTGCCACGTAATACAATTGATTCAACTGGCTGAGCTTCGGCAAAGGCGAGGCTTCGTGACCTAATTAAGGCTAGGTAATGATCAGAGAGCACTCGCGCGTGAGAGACGCAGGTGCGTCGCGGGCGCGAGCGGCCTGCCCTGACGGAGCTAAACCAGTTGAATCAAAGATACATGTTTCAAGTAGCTTTTAGCACGATTCGATGGGCGTTCTCTTATCAAATTAATACTTTTGTAAGTTCATATCAATCGCCACCAAAAAGGCACAGTGTTTTTGTGAACAAAAACTATAGAGCTCATTTCCAGTTTGCGGTGAGGAGCATGCAGTTAGTAGCAGAGAGTCCGCAAAAGTTTCTGCTGCAAAAGGTGCACTCACATCATACAAAATCGAGTCTGGTTGAAGGGTAAGAAAGGGGAAATTGCAAACCGTGAAGCACAGAAAGCGAGATAAACAACTGCAGGAGGGGGAACGGAACTTACATACACAATAAGGTTGCCGCCGCCTTGTTAACGGAGTTTATGAGAGGTCATGAACTGGCAGCAACGCTAATTTGCACTCAATGCGCACCGAAAATGAGCTGATTCTGCTCACGGTAACCCCGTCATCATCCTGCAGCCTATGAAACAGGAATTTCTTTGGAATTCAAAGTTTAGTAGTAAAATCAGTCCAATTAGGGCAAAAACTAGTATTTAGGGGTATTCTAACACGCTGATTCCGAATATGTTGATCGTTTTGCTTGAAACCTAGGATTTTCTTTTTTGAATTGAAACATGTTTTCACAAATAAAAATTTCAAAAATTCTATGTAGGGGTTTTCTGACATGCTGTTTCCTAAGAAGCTAATGGCTTCGCTCAAAACTTTGAATATTTTTTCCTTTGAAACTTTGTTTATTTTCCACAAATCCTCTGTGATTTTGGCAAATTTCACAATTAGGATTTTTTGACATGCTGTTTCCAAAAGTTTCGGTTTTATTTTCTTAAGCAAGGCAGATTTTTCCGTTTGTTTTCCAGGTTTATCAAATTTGCAGTGAAATTTCAAAAAAAAAAGTTTGAAATTCAAAATAGAAAAATTTTGAGATTACAAGCAAAACCATCAGCTTTTTGGGAAACAGCATGTCAAAAAATCCTTACATAGAATTTTTGAAATTTTTATTTGTGAAAACAAGTTTCAATTTGAGAAAAATATCCTAGGATTCGAGCAAAACGATCAACATATTCGAAATCAGTGTGTTAGAATACCCCTAAATACAAGTTTTTGCCCTAATTGGACTGATTTTACTACTGAACTTTGAATTCAAATTTCAAATTCTGGTTTCATAGGCTGCAGGATGATGACGGGGTTACCGTGAGCAGAATCAGCTCATCTTCGGTGCGCATTGAGTGCAAATTAGCGTTGCTGCCAGTTCATGACCTATCATAAACTCCGTTAACTAGGCGGCCTCAACCTTACTGTGTATGTAAGTTCCCTCACCCCTGCAGGAGAGACTTGATAGCACCAGTTGATGGCTATTCAACCCAGTGGACAGAGTCTACTATATCACATCAAATTTTGCAAACTCACTAGCTTCTCTATGCATTTGCTGCAGAATGAATGTCCACAGCTTAGTTGTAGAGGCTGCACAAATGGCTCTCGACATATAGGACACTCGGTTAGATTCTGCAACTTAGACTCCCTCGATGTACATGGCACGTTGCTCGCGAGCATCTGTTTATTTCCTGAACATGCAAGGGCCTAGAAAAAATCACTAAAATTGCAAAAGTAAAACTTGTTCAAAGGTGCTAGATAGCAGATTACGTAGGCATTTGCTAGAGACTGTAGTTGTCGACATTGTCAAATATGTGAAAAGAAACGTGAGGAAAATTGATAAAGCAGAGTGAGTTTGGAAATTCAAGCGTACTTTCAAAATGAACAAGAAATAGAAAAATTTTGTTAGATAGCACTGCTTCTAAGCCGAAAGTTATGTTTCTGTCAGATTACACTTAGCCCTTAACTTGCGCAAACATATACTTCATCGCAATAGACATTCATCTATACAATTGCTATATTTTTGCGCTGTTTTAAACTGAATAATAAAAATTGCCTGTCTCTGATGAAGCGATCCTAGGCCGCACATCACAAACCTTGGGAACAGCGGCTGCCCCAAAATTTGGGCGGCAGCTATACTTTCAAAAATTTTCTTTACAAGCTGAAATGATTTTTTTAAAGATTTGTTTGTTCTAATCTTATATTAGGTTGTCCCGAAAGTTTTGTCCGTTTTTTCAAACCATTATAAAACCACGCACAATGAAGATCTGAATGGTTTCAACATGCATTCGATGCAGCTTCTCCTTCTCTTTCTTGTGGTTGCATTTTCAAACTACGACCCAGTATGCTTCTTTTGATAATTGCTAAAATTTTTAACCGCTATTTTTATCTGCTCAAACTTTGGCTAATTTTTGAAATTTTCATTTCGAAGTTTCTGAAAGCTTTGAGCATGGCTTATATAGAGCGATTCTCGGGCTATATGGCGATTTTTTTGGTTCTTTTGTTCTGCTGTTTTTAGCTCCAAACAATCTCTTCGAAGGTCTCAATTTTTGGCAAAGTCATGGAACACACAGCTGCAGCAAAAACATGAAAACTTTCGCAGTTTTTGCGAATTGAAACATGATTCTTACTAAACATCATTTATGCAACATAACCAAGCTTGATTTGCTTTGAAAAAGCAGCTTTTTGGAATTTTCGGGATTTTTACGTGGTAAACATAGTCAAAAAGCCGCGGTTTTCATCAATTAAATAATTATAACAGGCTTGATAAACATTGCCCAAGTAATCTAAAATGTGTTCAAGGTAGCCAAAGGTTTGCTTTATATAACAGTCACTAGTGCCCTTCAAAACATCAGGATAAAAATTGTTAAAATTTAGGAAAGTTTTGGCGTCACCCTAGCCTGCTCAAAAAGCCATGGCGATAATATCGTAAAGACAGGGTAGTTCAAAAAGCGAATACGCCTGTAAGAAAGAGGATAAAAACCTGAACCAAGTGGTACCTAAATCGTCCATGGATTGGTGTTCTGTGAGTTTTAGTGAGCGCTGAAAAAAACGGACAAAACTTTTGGGACAACCTAATATATAGAGCTGAATGTATATATATATATTATTAATTTTGAATTCTTGCCGCCTGCATCACTTCACAAGATGTGAAGCTACAGAACTTTCGGATCAAACTAATGTGTTAGACAGAGACACAAAAACTGCTACAAATACTTGCTAGGTGCTTTAAAAATGTCTCATAGCATTTTATTCACGGCTTTCGCCGTTCATTCATGTCAGTGAAGCAACAACTAGATCACACCAAAAAGGGTACCGCCCTCAAATCTTTTTCGATGCAAAAAATTTTGGAAATCTGGGCAACTAAAGCTCAACTTTCAAATATTTCACTACATACAATTGAAAAGGGAACAAGCTCGATTTGTTGAGCGTACACAACTCCTTGCTGTTTACTTATACTGATTAATTAAATGCACCGGAAATTTTTCTCAAAGTTACTTGGCCACGAGCAGTCGCGTCAATCACTTTCCGCTACCAAACTTGATTGCGAAGAAAGAAGCAATTAATCAGGTAGATGTAGAATGTAAAGCTGTGTTCCCTACCTTCGCGATTCGAGCCATGCTACTAGGTCATGTGATAAGGTCGCTCGCAATTTTTTTGTTTTAGTTTTTTTCTTAATGTTTTGTAAAGCTTTTTTGATAGAAACTTTTTGAGTGGCTGGCTAATTTTTGAGCGCACTAGGAAGAAAATTTTTGGGATGTTTTCTAAAAATTTCTACGGACCCAATTAAATTCAAAAATTTTGGAATTATTGACTGTTTACAGGTGTAAACAAGTCACTTTCACATTTTTGTGAACATGTATGTGACTGTCAAAAATTTTGCTTTCCCATTCTCGGAGGGGGGGGAAGAAGCGCTCCCTCCCCTCGCTTCGCCACAACTTGGAGCAATATATACTGGAGTTGTGACCAAAAGGAGTTTATCAAGTCTAAAGTGGGCTACTCAAGATGGCTTCTGCATCTTGCGCAAGAAGTAATGCCGCTTTTTTGAATAAGCCACATTTTGCTAAAGATTCTAAGGATCTTGGTAACATTGGATGAAGCATTTCACTCTCTTTCCAACGATTGTTCATTGCAACACAATTACTGAGCTTTCGAAGAATTACCAAAATCTGCTATCCACGCTTTTTGAGATGGTCAAGTTTCACAGTTTTTCTGAGCTTTTATATCAACCTCCCGAAAGAGTTCTAATAATGATATGATAGAGGAACCTCAAAAGATACAGTACGGCTTTTTTCTCATTCTCACACTTGCCATAATTTTTCAAAATTTCTCACTATCTTCTCACTTTCACGAAATTTGAAACTTTCAAAATAGCATTATATTTTGTCCCGAAAGTTTTGTCGGTTTTTTCAAACCGCTATAAAACCACGTACAATAAAGAACTGAATGAGTTTCAACATGCATTCGATGCAGCTTTTCCTTCTCTTTCTTATGGTTACATTTCCGAGCAACAATCCTGTATGCTTTTTTGATAATTGTTACAATTCTTCACCCGTCATTTTTATCTGATCAAATTGGGCTAATTTTCAAAAAGTTCGTTTCAAATTTCCGGAAGCGAAGTATGGCACAAAGAGAACAATATCGGCATTATTCGGTTGTTCTTGAATCTTGGCATGAAATCACTTGTAGACGTTCTTTTCGAGTTACACCAAGATTGGTCTAACGATTCTTTTATTGGCTGACGTCGACGTTTCGGCGTTTAACGCCTTCTTCGGAGCCTGGAAAGCCGAAGTCATAAGTGACTATGCAGTCAGACGTCAAGAACAAAGACGAAAAAATCGAAAAGAAGATTAGCCTAAAGAGCAGAATCAGAGCCAAAAACACTTTTACTAACCTTACACGTAGCACAAGTGATAGTCGAAAAACAGACCACCTTATGCCAAACTGTGCCTCAACCTCACTTTTATACGCCCAAGTGACCTGATCTCTTGCAAATCCACAGAGGGATTGATAAGGTGCGAGTTCGGAGGAGATCGCAATGCACTCGTCTTTCCGATTCATTTTTGGATTTTTAGCATCCAAAACGCTTCTAACGTTTTGCGTGATAGGCTTTCGGGCTCAAACGACAAGATTCACTCCAATTTGAACTTCAGCGTTTTTGTGGCGTGTTCTGCGATGTTGCCTCAGAGGTATGGAGGGCTTAGACTTATTTAGCCCATCTAGATGTTCTTTGATACGAACACAAACAGGGCGGCCGGTCTCTCCAATGTAGGTGTCGCCACATGATAAACATATGATCAGATAAATTACTGCTCCTGACACCATACAGCCATCATCTCTGCTATATGGGCATACTACACGGCCTGTGGTCAAACAGATACGATCATATATACGGTTGCGAACCAGTTTCCGCTTTAGTTCTGGCGCGGGATACCGACCATTCTAACGGCCTCTTGCAAACCCGCGCGATGTACGCATCGCCGCACTGCCCTGCTAAATTCATCTGACACAAACGGCAAGCAAAAGGGAATCTTGTCCGCCAGGGAAGCTGGACAGGCCTAGCGCCCACAAAGCTGCGCGATCGCGGTGTACTGCCACGGTACCCGCTTGGTCGAGAAACGGTGAGCCAAAGACAAAGTGAGATTGAGGCACAATTTGGCATAAGGTGGTCTGTTTTTCGACTATCGCCTGTGCTACATCTAAGCTTAGTAAAAGTGTTTTTGGCTCTGATTCTGCTCCTTGGACTAATCTTCTTTTCGATTTGTTTCGTCTCTGTTCTTGACGTCTGACTGCATATTCACTTATGACTTCGGCTTTCCAGGCTCCGAAGAAGGCGTTAAACGCCGAAACGTCGAGGTCAGCCGAGAAAAGTATTGTTACCAATCTTGGTGTGGCTCGAAAAGAACGTCTAAATAGAGCAATTCTCGGACTACAAGGTGATATTTTTAGGTTCTCTTGACCTGCTGTTAGCTCCAAAAAATTATTTCTTCGAAGGTCTCGATTCGCAAATTCATAAAACACGCAACTGCGGCAAAAACATAAAGGCTTTTGAAATTTCTGCGAATTGATACTCCATTGCTATTAACCAATAATTATGCAACATAACCAAGTTTAATTTGCTTTGAGAAGTCAGGTTTTTGGAACTTTTGGACTTTACGTGGTAGAGCCGCGGTTTTTCTCGAATAAAATTATAACGGACTTGATAAGCATGACCCTTGTTATCTAAAATAAGCACGATGTAGCCAAAGATTTGCTCTACATAACAGTCACCAGCGCTCTTCAAAAATATCAGGATAAAAAACTTTAAAATTCAGGAAAGATTTGGCGTTACTGCTGGGCTGCTCAAAAAGCCGTGGAGAAACATTTCAAAGACAGGGTAGATCAGAGAGCAAATATAGCTATAAGAAAGAGGATAAAATTCTGAATCAAATGATACCTAAGTCGTCCATGGATTGGTGTTCTGTGAGTTTCACTGAGCGATGAAAAAAACGGACAAAACTTTCGGGACAACCTAATAAATCAACAGTTATTTGAAAAGCAAATGAGAGTTTGAGGACCCGAAAATCAAATTTCGGATTTTTGGGGTACAACTAAAGAGCGAAGAAAAACAAGAAATATGATGATTTTTCCCCGATGAATCCATGAATCGGGAACAATCAGATAACATACAAGCTGCTCGTCGTTTGATGTTCTGCGATGCTTCAATCAAGTATGGAACTCGGTAGCATTACTCAAAATTCTACTAAAAATATGACGAGTTATCAGAAGGAGGGAAAAAATGTTTTGCATCCTGTATGGATCGCACTGATACATTACTTGGAATTCCTCGGGTGATCAGTGCATAAGTTTATACAAAATCGCAAACTTGACCATTTCAAAAGGCGTGGGTCGCAGATTTAGGCAATTTTCTGAGAGCTCATAAATTGCTGCGAAGACTTTGTGACCGATTTTTTGTCAAAAAAGGATGAAGTGCTGCATCGAATGCTACCAAGATCACTCAGAAAATCTTGCTTCATCAAATGTGGCGCCCGTTTGAATAAAGCAAACTACCCCTGCTGCTTTGCTCTGCTTAATTGCTTCAGCTAGATCGGTGGTTGGAAGGCGGGGATCCGTGATTAGATTAAGGCTAAAAAATGATCAGAGATCATGTTCGCGAGGGAAGAGCAGATTGCGTCGCGAGCATCGCCTCCTAGGTCATGAAACCTCGCCTTTCAGCAGCCAATCTGGCTGAAGTACTCCCAGAACAACCTAATAAAATCCAAAGCTTTTGATTTGTGCCAGGTATCGTATTATCGCTGTCAAAATCTTACATGTCTTCACTTGCTTAATCATTTAACCGTAACATCGGATTTGTTGCACATACATTGTTAAATACATTACTCTCCAATGGCTAGAAAATGAGGACGAAAATATGGGTAATTCTTCGGGGTTTCTGATGCGAAACTTGATACTTTTCAACAATTAACGTTTGTTAGAAGCTGAAATTCTGGTTGTACTTTCAATATGACAACTCCATTTTTTCAATCCCTAGCCATGTACAAGATACAGCAAGCGCATTTAATATATGGATGTGTGATGCAAAAGCCTTTGCTTGAGCAAGCTGGAACGTAAAACTTTTGAAAGCGAAAACTTCTTTTTTGCATTACAAAGTAGCTTATTTCAATTCTAAACTTCAAACCGATCTCCTGTAATTAACCTATTATATATTGTGATTGGATTTATCGCTACGATGCACCATGGGTTTTAGCTGCAGAATAGAGACGCGTCTGCGTGTAACACGAAGTATAATGTTTTTGCTTGCATTTCAGTATCATTCGTTTTTCGAGTGACATTGACAATGTTGACAAGCGCATGCAAGAGTACCTAATCGTAAGATAATGGCTCTCACAGCCGGAGCTTAAGAGTGCAAAGATAACAGGGAAATAATTTGAACTTTGCAGAATCTTGTCTTTCAATGCTTAGTTAGCGTCATCTTGAGATAAATGATTTTCGACTCTCGTAAACAGTTAAATATTATACATAAATCAGATTTCTTATGATTTGTCTCGTACCGTAAATCGTCGCTTCTGCGCTTGAGTTATCATAAGATGAAACAGCGTGTACTTTTATAAGCATTCAATGTTTGCGTTTTCACAATAAAAAATTGCGCATAAACTTGAGAGGGACTATCTGAGTATTCATAAGTAATCAATTGATTCATTCTCCAGAGATGTTTTGCGAAACACGAGCTAAGCATGACAGACAACAATCGAGCTTGTAGTCCGCAAATTTAACATCGACTCTCAGGGCCGCTTGCATTAACATCCCCGCCGGGGAAGAGATCGCAACTTGAAAAAAAATTTCATGTCGTAATGCTCCAGATATCTAGATTTCACGCTATCTACCTATCCGTAAGTATTCCCAGCATCCTTCACTATGAACATATTGAACAGGGGCAAGAAGCTGTACAAGCCGCATTTTTCAGCTTTTTGTATGATTTCCTGACGATCCCCCGGGGCGACCGTCTGTTTTCAAAGTCATTTTCTTTCTTCAAAGTTAATGAATCCCAAAGTTGTATTCCTTATCTAGTACAACAGTGCTAGCATGTTGCTGATAAGAAAAAAAATAATTTTTGGATTCATAAAATTTTCGATGAACCAGAGGTTGAAAGTTGGGGTTTATCGAAAATTTCGATTTTTCAGAAACTCATTTGTTCATTAGCAATATGTTAGCACACTATTGGGTTAGATAATCAGTACAAATTTGGAATGTTTTCATCGACTTCGAAAAAAGAAAAATGACTTCAAAGATTATAGAAGGTCTCCCCCGGGGATAATCAGGGGTCATACAAAATGCTGGGAAATGCGGCTTGTACAGCTTCTGGCTTCTACTCAATATGTTCACAGTGAAGATGGTGGGAATACTTACGGATAGATAGACGGCTTAAAATTCAGATATCGGGAACTTTAGGATTGAGACTTTCTTTAATCTACGATCCCCTCCGCGGTAGGGAAGTCAAGGCATGACGCCCTTAGAATCACATAGAAGCGGAACATTGCAGACACTAAATAGTGTTGTTAAACTTGTTAGCTCTCCATATACGAGCAGCCTTTCAAAAATTTTCGTTGTGAAAAAGCACGCTTTGAGCAGCCACGTCTTCGCCTGTTCTGAACCGTAGATGATAGTTGCGTAATAATTACATGTGTCAGATTTCAAAGAGCTGCCAACATGTCAGGAACAAAATACGATTGAAAAATTGCAAGCGTGCGTTTAAAAACAGTTAATCTAAGCAGCATGGCATCAGCTAAGGCAGTAAAGATCCTACTCGGATAATCGCAAGGGGTAGGCGGACCGCAAACTTGCGGTTTTTTGCAGGCGGGTGACAGAATTTTGAAGTGCTATCGCTTTGGCGGGCGATACTTTCTTTACTGTCGCATGTTCTCGTGCAGCAATACAGAATTTTCTGCGAGCCTTGTTAGATGATTTCTTTGAGCGAGTGCTGGTCAAACCTTCAGCGTGCGCCGGTTTAATGCAGTTTCGGGCTTACGCTGAGGAAAGGTAAGACTCTATATGGTAGAGGTTTTATCGATGGTTTAATTACCCGCTTAAGGTGATCAAAGCGGGCATGTGCCCGCCCAGCGGGTATATACCCGCTTTTTCTTTCCCGAGTTTGGGGTATTTCCGTTCAGTGGGAAGTACCTATGGGTTGTGCTGTTCTTCACAGAGGACCTTGCGGCCCTCAACAATTTTGCATACTCTTGCGGAAATTCCACGAGAATGTAGCCGTTGCGCCGCAACTAATCTATGAAAAAGCTGCTATTACTTTTTGAGCGTTCTTTTAGAAAATAGCCAATATTCTTGAAAATATCTGCAAGAGTCCGCGAGAAATCAGCGAACTAATTTTTCGAAGCCCGATTGCCTATAAATCGCATGCCGCCTACCCCGGAAAAAATTTCTGTGTACTTTAATCAAGCACAAATACCCTGAACTGTGTTTAAAAAAAACATAATGGGATAATGAACGTTTCTGAATAATTGTGCTGGAATAAGAAGGTTTAAGTTTTTTTGCAATGATAAGTCAAAAGTGCTTGCGATACAGATACCTTGCAAAGCATCATAGGCAAAGATATATTCGCAATTTCGAAGCAAAAATTGCTTCTCAAAAATGCCTTGTACAGCTTACTGAGATTTGAATATACAGTATTCTTTATAGTTAAAATCGAATATTCGTTTTTGAATAATCGATTCGAAATATTCTATTCGCAATCATTCATTTGATGACTGCATAAATAAAAAGGCCTTCATTCGAATATGTCGTTTACTCTACAACTCGGAAAGTGATTTAGACTATTCGAATATACGAGAAGTTACAGAAATCGATTATACGATTATTGCGTTCGAATTTTTGCAGCTATTTAGTTAATCGTCCATTAGGATAAATGAACATTCACTCCAGCTCGGTTATTCGAATATCCAAAGTTCGACTTTTGAAATGTGGCATATTTGAATATTTGAATGCGAATAATATGAAAAACTGAAAACTGAACAACGTTCGTTCGTTCAAATATTTTACGAAATTCAATTATTCGATAATCATTGTTCGAAAAATTATTCGAAATCAATTCAATATGCGTTCATTCGAAGAAAATTTGCGTTCGAGACAGCTATAGTATCCCTACTGTGACAAACATATGCACAACAAGTTTATCTTTGCAAGTGTGAAATCGCTAAGCGCACAATGCTATCGTTCGAAAAAGTTAAATCAATTTGACTTCTTAGCCGTCAAGTTTACTGGAATGTCTCGCTTTTGACATACCTCTTGCAGCAGAAAAGGTCAACTGCGTAAAGCATTTAACATAAAAATTTCAAGATGAATGTGGCTGATGTGTTAAGCTTCTGCAAATGAAAAGTCGACAGTCGAACAAAAAAGATGTAACGCTAACAAGTCTTTTAAAACTCCGATATTGCAGTCGCATTTCACATGGACCAAGAAAGCCCGTTGTGCAGCAACAGAGTTATTGCTAAACTAGGTATCCAAACAATATCAACTTTGTGATTATTAAACTATAATAGTGATGTTCAAACATTTTGACGAGCGAAAGGGCGTTGCGTAAGAATACCTGAATTTTATCTAGATGCGAGACTATTCAGCAAAAAAGGCTCCACGCATTCGCTGATAACGCGAGCGTCTAACAGTTCGATATTGCAGCAGGTCTTGCTTTGGGAATGAACATTACATGTAGAATTTGTGCTATGACGTGGACACTGCATGACATTGATCCTATGTGTATTCGGACTTTTTGTATAATAATTTCCATTCTAGCTCTTTCAATGTTTAGCATTAATCAGAATTGATGGACAAAATTTAAAACCCACAACTTGAATAAACTAGGAATACGACTGAATGATAAGTTGACTATTACCGAAAATCTGATAATTGAAACCGCTGTCGCGAATTCTAAATGATAACCTTTGTTCATTTAACAGTCAGCCATATTCATTTACCAACAAGGTTGCCCGGCTTTGCTCGATTTTCAGCAGCGTATTAGAACTCGCCATTTTCCCCACTGCTGCTTGCCCCTCTTGTCTTTTTGAGGCATCTACTTGTCCTCTTCTCATGGACCAAATCCAGCCTTAGAGCTCAAAGTTTGCGCAATTTGGTGAAATCGACAAAAGTTTTCTAATCATGCTCAATAACCCCATTGTGACTTTCCCAACTTCGTAACTCAAAGTCTGCAAGAAATTCAGCGATGAAAGCAACCAATAATTCCGAGATTAGTATTGTATTCGTAATCACCATGCTCGATTACAATCCGTACCATTTAGTCATTAGCTCAAAGTTTACAGAAATCGATGTTTTCGATATCGATTAGTAAGAAAAGCAATCTATCACACCCGTCCGTTCCGAGGCGTTAGTGTGCAAAGTTTCGAAATGAAAGATGATTCTCTCGGGATCCCCAGGGCACACACAATATAATGAAAGTCTGGAATAGTATGACTAGTACTCTAATGCGCAAATATCGGGGTATGAGAACCTTCACCCAGGAAAGATAAGAAAGATATTAGAATAGCGAGATATGTCGCATCCCCTCTCATATTTTCTCTCCTCCCTGCGAGGATGTGCGTGCATGAGGGCGTAAGTCTGTTTCCCTTATCTAACAATTTTGTGGATGAGACTATAAGGTATAAATCTTTATATTGCTAAAAGGCCGCACTATAATAGAAAAGCAATTTTTATGCACGATTGCTATGCTTTTTAGATTGGTCACCTCGACTTCCGATCATTCTTTTGTGAGTTGAAATTCGTCTCTTTCTCAAACGCAAATTACTCTTTGTTTCGTCTTCAAAGTAAGCTTGCGCTTGAAAATCTCCCATTTCTTTTGAAAAATAATATCAGCTGGACAAGAATTGCTTGTTATTATGATGTTAGATTGCCAGGAAAATAGTGGCTACATTTGCTTGCTATAGAACCGGAATCAGGCAAACCTCAAAAATGCTTGGTACAGAAAGCGTGTACAGCGAAAGCGTGTGACCATCTTTATTGTGCGAAGGCAAATCATCAAAGACATATTTATTGCATTTGCAATCAGTAGCATCAGGCGGAATGTAGAGCGGAAGTGGGGACACGAGGTGGACCGTGGACCACGGAGCAGCGGATAGGTGGCCGTGTCGGGGACGAGGAGCCGGTCGTTCGGGACAGTTGTCGATGGTCGAAGGACTGCCCAGTTCGCCGTCTTATCCGCCTAGAATATGTTGAATCAGCGTGGAACAACATAGCTGCGAAAGAATGCATAGCGCACAGCGCTGCTCTCATACTCTCACAACTCTGGCGTCTTACTATCAAAACTCTCAACTCTTCACACCTCCATTGTTTCCTACAAGTCCGTCCCGGACTTACTAGAATTGCGGGTCTGAAATTAAGAGAAAACGCTCACCTTTACGAGACATCAGGAAAAGTAATGATTCAACTGATTCAGCGGGAATGGCGTTGATTGATGCGGCCCACTTCAAAACTCTATGCCAATGTGGCACCAACTGGAGATTCTGGGCGTTTCCGAGAATGAACTGAACTGCCCTTCACGGCGGCGAGATGCTGCAACATCATGCGTTGGTAATCATCAAAAGACTCCGTCGTTGATTGGTCGACTTCTGTCCGTGTTGTGAGTAAAATTACTATATCGCGCTCTCGCCCTTGGATCGAGTGCACGGTGATTACTTCCACGTTGAGACGCCTGGCCATCTTACCAAGCCTTTTCAACTGTTCCCGATAAAATGTGATGATGCAAAGCGCGTCGGAAGCGATGCCTTTTGCGAGTAAGCGCTCGATTAGATTCCAACAAACGCGAGCCTCCGTGTCGTTGTAAGCGATCTGCTGGGCGCGCGTGAAGCCGTTGACGCGAAGTCGATGAACATGAATGGCGTGGTAGTATGGGGAAAGCGCATTGCATTGAGGAGAAGTTGCCGGTCCTGGCGACTGATGCAGCTCGTTAAGGTTCCTTCGTAAGCGACAAAGTTCGGCAGCTCGATGAGGTGTGGGTGGACACGAAATGTGCTGAGCAGATTGACGACGGGAACGGCCCGCGCCTTTGACACGATAGACATGATGCTCTTCACCCCATACCGGACCGGGTTCGGTGAACGAGGGCAGAGTACGTGCGGTTCCAGTTGATGTACAATACCGATCATAATTCGTCAAAAAAGTCGCCGGAGTGCGGCGCACTCCGCCACACTCCGCCGCACTCCGGCGCACTGCGCCGGACTCCGCCACACTCCGACGCACTCTAGCGCACTCCGCCGCAGTCCGCCACACTCCGACGCACTCCGGCGCACTGCGCCACACTCCGCCACACTCCGACGCACTCTAGCGCACTTCGCCGCATCCGGCGACTTTTTTGACGAATTATGAGCGGTATTGTATATCCCCGATATACACGTGGCGAAGTTGGGGTAACCGCATAGCTATTGCTCCCATGCAACGCCTCGTCGCCGATCAGCACCTAAAAGTCTGCGACATGCGACTTGAACGCACCTCCCGGAGCCGTGATGTTCAACAGAGAAGAAGTTGTTGCCAGGAGGATGTGTGGGGTGTGGAGCCGAAAAAGTAGATTTATCATCTTTTTGACGTTTCGCGAGACGAATCTTTCTGATATTACGAGTGATTGCACGAACCAACCTACATATTCTATCTGCAAACGCTGCTGTGGACTCACCTGCCTCTTGCTTGCATCCCGCTAGAGCCCTGCGCGTCATGATCCGGAGGTGTGGTCCTTCGTAATAGTTCTTGAGGTGGACTACCACCGTGTCGTAGTCCTCACGCTGCGCCGCCGTGAGTTCGTCAACCTTTTTCCTGGCCGCACCATCGAGAGACAATCAGGTAAGAAGCCTTGAGTTCCGGTGGCAATGGGGTTGGGCGGGTATTCTGAATGTCCTCGAAACGACGGAGCCAAACTAAAAAAGGAGTAAGGTCCCACCGTTTGCACAAGTGAAATAGGTAATCTTTGGTGTAAGCCTTTCAGGAGTACATGGAGATACTTGTGAATCCCGTCAATCCTCTGCCCTACCGCGCTGAACGAATCGTTGAGATCCTGCAATAACGAAGAATTTACGTCATTGACCTGCTTAGCCAAAGCCGATGTTGCCGAAAGAGAGTCCTTCTATGCGTCCGATATGGCTTGTGCCGTAACATCTCGTAGCTCCTTGGCTTGTGACCCTTTGACGAGGAGTCATCTGAAAGACTGACTAGCGAAGTAGCAACTTTCGTTGCGTACTCGCATAGCTGTGAGGTTGAAATCGGTACAACCGCCCCAGAGTCAGAAGAGTGGGTACGAGAGCGAGTTACAGGACCCATACAGATGTAGACAAGATGAGTGACTGGCACGAAAGCGAAAGGATGTATAGCGCCCAAGGTTCCGTCCCTTAAATACTTGGAAAAATCAGATAAGCAGAAAGGCTTCTTGTTTTGTTTTTGTTTTCTGATAGCCTGCTGATAGGGGGAAGAGGTTCTCATGCGCTAATGCAGGTAGTGGTATGGAAAGCTTTGCGCGAAGATACGAATGGAGCGCGATGGGAAAAATAACGAATTCTTGAAAGGTTCCCATGCTTTGCGGCTAAGAAAGTAAACATCGGCAAGGTCTTGCGTGATATACTGTTCGATGCGTAACGTCAACATCCCCGATGGCTGCAAGATGGTAGAACATGAGCGGGATTGGGGAGATCGCGAAACTAGATATGTTGATAAAGGGCTACAGAAAATTTCTCATGAGCTCTGTCGCGTGAGAATCGCACGCAAAAGATCTTCTTGATAAGCTATTTCTCAAGCTCGCAAAAGTGTAAACATCTGTAAACATAGCGCGGCTTTAGATTTTGTGGCAAAGCATGATACTAATACTTTACTAGAAGATAGTTACTGATGTTTGCGCCTGAGCGATGTCGAAATTGACTTGAAGGAAGCTATTTGAGAAAGAGGATTTGGTGAACTGCTACTATGAAGGACCTCGAAAGGAGGAGGGAGGATAGTCACTTTGCTGGAAGGAAGCGTTTGAAAATGTAAAAGTGCAGAACGATCGTGGTAATAGAATCGGTAAATCGAAAAAACTTACCTGTCGATGGAAAAAAAACAAAAGAGAAAAAGCTAAACTCGGCTTCCAGCCAAAGCGGTTTTTATCGGGAACCACCCACTAACTACTTACCTTTACTACGCGCTCGGAAACAATCCTCAGGGAGCCATGCTAACCTGGACACCATCGAAACAGATCTTCGGGCCCGGACGCACAAACCAATCATCGGGAAGCTCAACTCCACCCGGACACCAATACTTCATCGGGGAGCCTCGCTCACCATGGACACGTACAAACCAAATACCTTAACCTCAGGGAGCCAAGCTCAATCTGGACACGAACAAATTCACAACTCTTCGACACCGAAAGAAAAAACAAATTGGGTACATAGAGGTAACTTGAAAAGAAACAAAGCTAGTGCTAAAACTAGGACTAAAAAGCTCAATCACCTTCTCAGGTCGATCCCATCCGTCACGCAGGTCCAATCGCTGCTACCAGAAAGCCTGTACAGTGAAAGCGTGTTGTCTTCTTTATTATGCGAAGAAGAATCATCAGTAGAAACATTTATTGCATTTGGAACCAGAGCATTATGCAGGATGTGGAGCGGGAGCGGGGACGCGACGTGAGATCGTGGCCCATGGCAGCAGCGGATAGGTGGCCATGTCGAGGACGAGAAGCTGGTCGTTGGGACCCATCGTGCCATCACTTGGAGTCCTCGCGACTTGTTATATATCCTTGCACTATCAAAGCTCGACATCGCCGAGGGCATGGGAATCGCTGCTCTCATAACATGAACGATGGCATCCTATGACGCAACACTGTGAGATTGCAATGACTTTTTACTACAAAAATGCTGCTTTTACACTTCCCCCATTTCCTTCAAGTCCGTCCCGGACTTCAAAGACATGGGTAGAGCAGCAGGAAAAGAAAGGGAAACTAACCATCTTGTAGATAGAAGGGAATTATTTCAACCTCTCTCCGCCATGGTTTCTTAGATATCGAGCATTATTGAGGTTCACCACGGTGAGATTGTAGATGGACTGTGAACGAGCGAGATAGCGTACCATAACTAATTTCTTGTAGCCGTATATATCAAAAGTGTGTCCACGAATTGTGGTGTTCATAGATGCGGTGACAATCACGGGACAAGTTGCTGCTAAGGATGCAGCTATCAAAACGCACACTATCGGTGAACTGATGTCAAAAGCAGCTTGCATTACTGCCAGTGGGAGCAGCTCAATTTGAATGCTGTTGCAAGATGCTAGTCGTGCTTTAGTTGAACTCAGGGGCTTCAACTATGGGATGAAAAGGTTTTTCAGCGGGATCGAAGAAACCCGGATCGGTAGCATTGGCAAAGTTAGCGCACGAACATCATAAGCGGCGTCCACGACAACATGCTGAAGGGATAAGCTATTTGTAGACGCTGAATTTGAGGTGATATCGTTATATTTGATATGATTTTTTTGATATCGGTTCAAAAACAAAATTATCCATTCGGAACATAGGTACACACATACATCCAGACATGCAGACTTACAGACATACAGACATACAAACGGACGTTCAGCATTATATAAAACTTTATATACAATAAAAAACAAAAACAAAGAAAGAAATTACCTATAAATTATCTGGATTATCTAATTACCTTCCGTTTCGTTCCTACTCACTATACGAAAATTAGGCAAAGTATACGATCTTTTCGGAACTCATCAGTAGTGAAGGAAGATCGTAAGCTAATAATTTATGAAGAAGAAAACAGAAAAAAAAGAAAAACCCAAAAATTTACTTATAGCTTAGATAGCTGTGTTAGCAGTCATCCACTTGCTATTGTTATTCGTAACTAATGCTCTCTGGCAATCTATTAGGTTCTCCCGAAAGTTTTGTCCGTTTTTTCAACCTATCGTAAAAAAGCGTGGAGCGAAGTTATAGAAACGCTCTGAGCACGACCCGACGCATCTTTTCCTTCTCTTTTTAACTGTGATGCTCTCATGCCGATTATTCTTTTGCTTACTGAGATAAGGGCCAAAATTTCGAACCCGTGGTTTTTACTATGTCCAAGTTTGGCAATTTTTCACAATCTCCATTTTCAACTTTTGGAAGTCCTTTGATAGCGCTCAGATAGAGTAAACAGAGGGCAATGCAATGCAATTTTTTGGCTTGTCCAGCTGGCATTTCAGTATTTTTTGAGATAATTTTTTCAAAAGTCTTCACTTTTGGGAAGTCCCAAAATACAGAAACGCCTCGAACACTAACAAATCATCGGATTTTGAGGCTTTCAAAAATCAGTTACGATTATTCACTACTAGATGGCAAACCCGGCTCCGCCCGGGACCAAACTTTGCACACATACACTTCGGGGCAGGGAGCGTGTCATAGTCCACTTTTTGTTATCGATCGATGTCGATTTTACCGATTTTTTGCAAAATTTGAGCTAGGGGGCTGGGATTTTGCACAGGGGGGTAATCGAGCATGCTGATCAACCCCTCCGGGGTGATCAGCATGCTCGATTACCCCCCTGTGCCAACTTCCAGCCTTCTAAAAATCGATAAAATCGATATCGACGATAACGAAAAGTAGCCTATGACACGCTCCCTGCCCCGAAGTATATGTGTGCCAAGTTTGGTCCAAATCGGTCCAGAAATAAAGGCCCGTAGTAGACTACCGCCAGGACATCTCCCCTGAGGCGGACCGGAGTTGATATCTTGGCGCCTCAGTCCAGCATCCGGCGGGCTATTGATCTGGATGCAGATCGCTTCCTGGACATTATAATCAAGTGCGCTCTTGAAAAAAGAACCACTTGAGCTGGTTTGGTTAAATGGGTAAGCCATTGGAATTACACGCGCGCGGCCGTGGTTCAATTCCGCCTAGCGACACAACTTTTGCTGCATCGCCGGGCAATCTTTGATAGCGGCCACTATCCAATCGATGATGACCGCTATCAAGGATTTCGCCTAGCAAACGTAAAGATAAAACAAAAAAACATTTCGTTACGAAAATTTTGCGACAAAACGAAATGGTTGCAACGTGAATTTAATAAAATGAACAGCTGAGTACTCGTTTTGGACAGCTTTAAAAAAACCAGTTAAGTTTACAAAAAAGAGAAGAATTTGTTTTTTTCTGTCTTACTCGCCAAAATCAGCTGTTCATCGATCCTCTCCTTTTCGGGCGCGGCTGTGCAACTTTGCGCCGATTTTGTCCGCAGTGTTAGGCAAATTGCTGTGTATCGTAAGTTACTCAGGAGCAACTTACGAAGATTTTCTCTGCGTTTCCTCTTTAGCACACTATTTCTGGACATCATCGCTCATATCATCTCCCATGACCCGGCAGGGAGATCATCTCCCTGCCGAACTTCACCTGAGGCTCACTTCTCAGGTGAAGTTGCATCCCTATAGCACGGGGAAATGGGCGGTCGTCATTTTACTGACAGAACCTCACATGAAGGTCTCAGGGGAGATAATCTCCCATGACTGAGCTTTACTACGGGCCAAAAATTTCTATTCCGCACATACGTACAGACAGACATACATACAGACAGACATTCAACTTTATATATAAGATTTTTAAAAGCGACTGAGCGTTTACCGCTTCGAAATATAAGATTTCGTATTTTACGGTACATGCCGGGGCGGGGTCAAATTCAATAATTGTGGAAATTTTATCGCTAGAGACCTCACAAATTGGACGAAAAATACACTCACTGAAAAGAGGAAAAAAAAGCTGCATCTAATGACACCTTAGTTGTGCGTCGTTTTATGTTCTATGGTTCACGGCATCACCAAAAGTGGAATTTGATAGCATCAGAAAAATAACTCTAAAAAATTTTCAAGGCTAGCTATAGATGACGCAAAATTGCATTGCATTGCCCGTTGCTTACTCTACCTGAGCGCTATTAAAGGACTTCCAAAAATTGAAAATGAAGATTGTGAAAAATTGCCAAACTTGGACATAGTAAAAACCACGGATTTGAAATTTTGGCCCTTATCTCAGTTAGCAAAAGAGTAATCGGCATGGAAGCATGACAGTTAGAAAGAGAAGGAAAAGATGCGTCGGGTCGTGCTCAGAGCGTTTCTCTAACTTCGCTCCACGCTTTTTTATGATAGGTTGAAAAAACGGACAAAACTTTCGGGACAACCTAATATAATGGATTAGCAAGCTTGTTGGAAACTTTGTAGAAAAAAAAAGAAAATAACAACTCAAATAACAAAATTAGAAATAAGGAGAGTGTAATAAGAAAAAGACTCAGTTGTTGCATAAGAATTTGAATTCAAATTACTCGCGCGTGGCAACCGGTAAGGTGGGTTATCATAGGAGCACGTTATACATATTTTTATCATATATACTTATTTATCAAACTATAAAATTCAGAAATTACACTCATTGTCATTTTGTGTTTATTATTGTGTTTTGTGTTCAGTAATTTGAGTAATATGTTTATATTAGGTTGGCGAGAAAGTTCTTCCGCACCATATTCAAAAATTCATAACTTCTGGTTCTTTCAACCTATTTGCGTGTTTTCATTTTTATCTGAAAGAGCAAGTCATTCTCTTCATAGCGGTATCGCGATTTTCTACTGAGCATATACCGCATAGATATAAGCGGTAGAGGAAAATTACTCAAATTTTGAATTTTCTGTTTAGGGTAATAAAAAATCTAAAACTTACAGTAAAAATTTGAGCAGTCAGCATTATAGGTTTTTTCATCAGCTCTTTCTAAGTGTGCAAAGTTTGTGGTGATTGAGTGTTTCTATGAAAAGTTATGATTTTCCTGAAAAACGCCAAAATAAATCCAATTTGCTTTTTTTTTGTATCTCGAAAATCATAACTTTTCATAGTAACGCTCAGTCAGCGCAAACTTTGCACAGTTAGAAAAAGCTGGCAAAAAAACCTATAATGCTGACTGTCCAATTTTTGCTGTAAGTCGCAGATTTTTTATGACCCTACACAGAAAATTCAAAATTTAAGTAATTTTCTTCTACCGCTCATATCTATGCAGTACATGCTCAGTAGAACGTCGCTAAGATAGCGCTTCGAAGAGAATGACCTGCTCTTTCAGACAAAAATGAAAACACGCAAATTGGTAAAAAACCAGAAGTTGTGAATTTTTGAATATGCTGCGAAAGAACTCTCGGGCCAACCTAATATACAGGGTGTCTCAAAGTAAGTACACACTTTTCAATCGTTAATATCTATCTTCCCATTGGGTCTTTTACCGCCATTCAAAAACGATTCTGTAGAAGAGGCTTCACTTAGACAGTCGAAGGGATACCTCCGGCGGGCAAATGGCAGTCTGCCACTTTGCGCTCTGGAGCGCTCCGGAGCCCTTCCATTTCACCCATTTTGGTGCTTCGGAGCTCTTCCAAATTTGGCGCACCTCTGGAGCAGAGATTTGCGCGTTCCGGAGAGGTGTCCCATTCGCCTGCTTGAGACGTCACCGTGACGTCACGGTGAACGAATGGGATCCCTCTCCGGGACGCGCAAATCTCTGCTCCAGAGGTGCGCCAGTTCTGGGGGAGCCCCGGAGCAGCAAAATGCGTGAAATGGCAGGGCTCCGGAGCGCTTCAGAGCGCGAAGTGGCAGACTCGCGCCATTTGCCCGCGGGAGGTGTCCCTTCGACTGTCTGAGTTTGAATCAGCAGTTTGAACGCGAAGTAGCGCCGGAAGCGCCCAACAGCACAGCCTCGCTAGTAGATAGAGCTTTGAAATTTGGCGATAAGCTCGAGATCATCGAAGTTTTTAGGCATACACGACAAATTGATATTAATCTAGCTATTATACCACGAAAAATTTGTGCTATGTGTTTTAGCTATGCAAAGTGGGAAGGACACGTGAAAGTCTAACTTATCCTTTCATAGAATATAGAATTTTAGAGTCCCAAAGTGTTTTTGAAACATTTTTGAGCGGATCTCCTCTAATTTATCGACACATATTGGCAGAACAATAAGTGGCCAGCTACATAGCGAGTTTATTAATCATAGGATCATCGGGACGTTCATCGTGAGTCACATCAAAACAAACTTTTGATCCCAAAAATTAAGCTGATTTCGAATATATGTCTCTCTTGGTTCATGTGTGATTATCAGCGAAGTTGTGCTGTTGGACGCTTCCGGCGCTATATCGCGTTCAATCCGCTAATTCAAAGGTGTCGCCGATGGTACGGAATCTGCGTGTGAGAAATCCGTAAGTTTTCGAACATATACAAACTTTTTGTGGTGGAAA